TAAGATAAACATTTATTATAAATTAAAGATATCTTATATTATTAGATATGTTATTATAAAACATGCTTTAGTTAAGGAGTTAAAGATACTTCAAGTGCAAAATGATGATATAAAACCTCGATAAAAATGCACTTTTAAATACTAATCAGATGTTTACCTGAGACTAATGTTTTTCTGTTAATAATTTTGGCTTATTTAACTTAGTTTGAGTACTTTATTTTGTTTACCCTAACATAGCTTAGATAATATCAAAATCACCTATCTTTGAATCATTTAGCATAAAGACCTAGATTATATCTTCTTCGTAGGATCAATCCCTTACTTATTCTATACTATCTTATTTGTTTAAGTTAAGGTAATTAATTTGTAAGAATATGACATGCAACATCCATCAGTAATATTACGAATATTCCTTGTAGCTCTAATTGTATAATCACTAATGACATCTAGTTGATCCACTTGTAAAGCCTTAATAGCCAAAGTATGGCCTTCCTTGTTTATGCTCTTAAGTTTGTTCATCAGCTTTGCTATCTCATGGTCTTTTGCCTTGAGTGAAGTTGAAAGCCCCTCTACAAATTTTATCAAGTTAATCATTTGATCCTCCAAAGATGTAGTCTTGATTGTCATCACTGATATAATGCCAAAACTCAAAGCCTTACTTGGTGATCGACATGGGGTGGTCTTTATGGGTGAATTGTTGAAGTAGTCACCTTAAATGTCGAACAAAAATCCATGCAACCCATTTGATTTTTTATGGTGAAGTTACTTACAACTTTAGATTTGGATAGAGTTTCTATGCCCTTTTCGCATTTGATGCTGGCACTAGCTTGGAATTGCTTAGTTTGTGTATACAACTCGACAATAGATTTTTTTTCAATGGTGAGATTAGAGAATCTTCAATGGTATGTTGACAAATTGAATTAGTAGCCTTATTGTTTTTGGAAGTGATAATGGTGATCATGTTCTTCCTAGTTTCCATCGAGAAGTTGTTGAAAATTCTTTCTTGAAGGGAAGAGATGAGAAGTGGAAATGTCCCTAATAGAGTCGCTAGAAAATTATAGATATAATTTTCAGCACCTGAAATTAAATAAGCATACATGTACAAATATATGATTTTATTAAATATATGATCAAGTATAATCCTTATCTAAAATATTATTTCAAAAGAATAAGACAATTTCTTCCATTGGATTTGACATATGGTAACTTGATTTATTTGTAAGATCAAGCTAAGATTTGTGCTTTACAAGAATACGAATTTAGATATGTATTGTGAAGCGATATTTGGTGATTTGATACTTTAAATAGTACATTTAATTTGTCTTCAAAATGTTGTTAAAAAACTCTTACAGGATGTTTAAACTTGATCCAATAGAGCTTTATTTTTTGTAGACTTTAAACATAGATGAAGGAGGTATGAGAGTTTTTAAGATAGTTTCTTTATTTAAAGTGCTTGTTTTGAAAAAAAAATTGTATATCCAAGAATTCTTCTTATCTTTCTGTTTAGGGGAAGGACTTCTATTTATAAATATTTATAAGAACTCTCGAGTTTTTTTCCAATGCCACATGATATTATTTTGTTAATTAATTTTTATTTATGAGATTTTATATTTATGACAAGATGTTTCAAATATCTCATATGTTAATTTTTCATTAGCTAAGAAATATACGAAGATCTATTTATTTTATCTTTTTATGTAAACATAAAATTAAAATGACATAGTAAAACTTAATTCTTAGAATTTGTTTTTTCTAGACATAGTTATAAATTTGTGGTTTATGTTGATTTTCTTGCTAGATTTGTGTTTGAACTAATTTTAGCTAGAAAAGAAAAAACTCTGATGAGATTTTTATTGAATCAGGTGAAATGACACACTTAACAAAGCAATTCATTAATATTATGAACAGCAACCTAGGCAAAATGGATATGAATTATTTTAAAGAAAAATAACTACTAATTGGATGCTTCAATATTCGGAGGCACATGTTCATATTAAGATAAATCATAAATCATTGAT